AAGAGAAAACAAAAAAGCAAATTCTTTTGTAGGGTTGTCCCAACATGTCTAGGAGGTGGCGTGGTAATGATTCAAGTTCCTTCTGGTTTGGCAGGAAACACCCACTGGAATTCTGGGTGGTATTTGCTGTCAGGGCTCCTCCTCATTCCAGGGAGGGGCAGCCAGTGGGGCATCAGCAAGAGGCAAGCAAACTGTGCAGTTGTCAGAGGAGTGACACAACGGGTTTCTGCATTCAGATTGTGAGGTCCAGCAGGTGTTTCCTGCCTTGACCTCTTGGTGAAGGAAGAACCTAACTGCATGACCTGTCCTCTCTCATTAAACATCCCTTTCCAGATTCTGTCCTAATAGAAGAGGAGAACATTTTTCACAGCAACAGTATGTGAATATTTTCAAGCTGAGGATGGCAAATATCTGATACGCTCACACACAGAAGTAGGTACCACCACATTATGTGTTGCTGCAGTGAGCACACCTATAACCAGGGGCCACACAAACATAGCCAAAAAGCAGATTTGGACAGAATATGAGGAAAACTGCACTACCAATAAGAGTTGTTCGATAATAGAAATATTTTTTCCACTGGTAGATAGTAGACTCTCCTACATTGGTGATGTTTCATCAGCGGCTAAGTGGCCATCTTTCAAAGATGTTGTAGCTTGATCCTGCACTGTGCATTCAACCTGCACTGAGCAAGCAACAGGACTGCATGGTTTCCATGACCTTCTTCTGTGACTGCATAGTTACTGGGCTGAATAATACTATGAGTGAGGAGGACTTTGGAATTGTTGTAGATCACAAGCTGAGTATGAACCAACAGTGTCATATAGCTGCAAAAAAAGGCAAATGCTATTTTAGGCTGAATTAACAGAAATATAGTTTTAAAAATTGTGTGTGATACTAGTTCTCCTCTATTCTGCACTGATTTGGCCTCATCTAGAATACTTCAAGAAGCATTATGCTGTAAATTTGCTGTTAAGCAAAATGATCCCAAAAAATCCTTTTCAGAACCAGAAATTACAATAATTTTTATGTTTTAAGTTGTTTTTAATATATTTCATATATGTCTATAATTTAAAATTGTGCCACGCTGTGACACAAATTAAGAAAGAAACAGTGTATTTGTTGCATTGCCAACATTTTTTCTGCAGACGGTGGTGTCTTCCCATATACATTATCGGTAGCACTACCTTTTTGTGCAATGTAGTCAGTGTACCTGCATTACTCTTTGTCCATGGGAGGAGAGTAATCTATTCCAGCTTTGGTTGTTGCTCTGGAAAAGAAGGATTAACCCACAAGAGAGCAGAAGCTGGATTTGAAGGCAGGTGCACCGGAGAGCCCCTTGGAAATCTCTGTGAGGCATCTAGCGTTTCTGAGATCTAATTATTTCTGTCTCTGTTGATTTATGCTAGCAGTAATGACAGGGTGTATCTCAAGACATAAAACTTGCACGAACTCAGTGTCTTGGATGGATGGTATGCAATGCTTGACTGAATGTCTGTCATTTGGCTGCAGCAGAGGAGACTGATTCTCAGCCATCATGTCTTTTTGCTTTCTCAAGCTGGGCAGGGCGGGGGGAGAGGTTCTTCATATTCCTGCATACAGACACTCTTGTCTTGATTAATCTAAAATGAGCTAAGTTACCCTGGTTGGGACTTGCCGTCTAACACCTCACAGAAGACACACACATGTGTTTTAAAAGGCAAGCAGACCCATGTCACACAGCCTTGACCAACTGCCAGCTCCAGGGTGAATGTGTTCTATTGTTAGCTGAGTACACTTGTCTTTCAAAGGTATGTTACACCTTGCAACAAATGCCTCCTGCTTACACACTCAAACCATAACACAGTCAGCAACATGGTCTTCAGCCACCTTGATGGTGACATAAACCTGAGCAAATTTACTCTCCAAGGTTCTCCTTTGAAGACTTTGATGTTTAACGACCACAACAATGCACCACTAGTCAATTCCAATTTACGGCAATCCTCCCAGGGTTTCCCAGTGCCTGCTTCAGGGAAAGTGCAGCTTGCCCAAGGCCACGCAGGGAGCAGAGGACATAACCCCATCAGCTGCACACCCTCTGAGTGATCTTGACTGGCTCTGCTCCAGGGATACACAGTGGGGCTTTGAACTCCCAGCCCCTGGCTCTGCGGTCAGGTCCTTCAACCCACTGAGCTACGCCAACTCCCCACAAACCCCTCCCTTGGGGCTTTTGGTATCAAAGCCTTTCCTAATTGGCAAAATTCCCATATGTTCTCCAGAAACTCTTTAAATGTTGCCTAATTTACAACACACAGTCACATTTTGCTGTGTTTTGTTGTTGATAAAGCAATAGAATGTGGTGTTTGCCAGTGAGAACAGGTGGTATCACATAGTGGTTTATCACATGGTGGTTATTAAATAACTTGCCTTCAAAGACACATTCTACACTGAGCAGTTCCAAACCTTGATTTATGAATTAGCTGGCATGAAAAGGCCTAAGAAATGGCAGAACCTTATCTGGGTACTGACTCCATTTAATTATAAGGCTAGAAAGAAACAACTCCAGGAAGGCAGGTTAGATTTCTTCCAGTAGACCCAGGTACAGATTATTCTCATTTTTCTATTCTGCAGTTTGTCCAATCTAGCAGTTATAAAGTAATTTGCACAATCTGATCTGTGTTTTCTAGAAACTTGTTCTGCTGGCTTCACTGATTTCTCTGAGTTGAAGTTAAATGTTATGGGACCACCAATATGTGTGTCTCACAGGAGTCACATGTAGTACATCATCATAACAGGGACATTCATCTTGTTGCTCTGAATCAGCTGCTGCTTCATGAGAAAGTGAGAATGCTAATATAATGATACAGGAACACCTATGAAATAACATGGGTTGGTGGTAACTCAAATGTCTTCCCATGATTTGTAGTGTGGCCAAGGTTTCTGCATTATTTTCTTTTCCTTGTCATAACTGACAGCCATTCTCCTGCACTCGGAGTCTCATCTGTCACAGGCATCTGCTTCATTAATATGCAAAAGATGAGTGCTATAAATCTGTGGTAGCTAATTCAATACCATGAGTAATTGTAAGTCGGGCTAAGGAATCATAAGATTGACACATATTTGCAAGACTAATGAGGCACATAAAGCAAATTCCTACCATTGTCATCTTATAAATAATTAAGAAATAGTTTCTGGGTTTGCTCACCCCAGAAATAAACACAAAAAATATGTTCACTATAAACTGAAAATACTGCATTTGTATTCTTTTATCACACACTGTTAAAAACAGGTAATTTAATTTAAACAATGCCACAAAGAATGTTTTTATTTTTTTTATAAATCTGATGCCTTTCCCATAATAATGGGAACAGATAATTTTAACTAAACTGGAGATTTTGTTGGTCTGTGATTAATACTAATGCCAAGCATTAATATTCCGGGTTAGACAATCTCTTTATTGGATACAAGTAAGACAAGTTTTCAGGTTTCTACAGAACTCTTTATTAGGCAAGGAGAAGCTTGGGCTTCAAGCAGAAAGTCCAAAAATTGGATCAGATGCAATACCTATGGCTCACGCAGCAAGGCTAGGGGACTAGATTGTGTGTGAGGCAGAGGTAACAAAGATGTTGACTCACAAAATACAACAATCTGGCTGCCCATCCACTTCTCCCTGGCTCCCAGCAGACCTGCCAAAGTCCCTGTCCAAGTTCTCAGGTCTCCGTAGGAGGCATAGAGCAGAAGCATGTGGAGCTGGCATTAGTCTTTTGACATTAACAAACTTGGAGAATCAATTGAAGTATGTATGTTACAATCAAATCAGTAGTCATACCTAGCGGTCAGAAGAGGTGGAGTAATGTCCAGTCCACTTGGCAAGAAAAAAATCAATTATTCTTTCCCGGTATAGAATTCTAGGAAAAATCAGAATGATCTCTGAATTTAGTATAAAACAAACACAGAAAATGTATTTGCAAAGGCTTTCACAGCCGAGATCTAATGGTTGTTATGGGTTTTTCGGGCTCTTTGGCCCTGTTCTGAAGGTTGTTCTTCCTAACGTTTCGCCAGTCTCTGTGGCTGGCATCTTCAGAGGACAGCACCAGAGCACAGAGTGCTCTACAGAGACCGGTGAAACATTAGGAAGAACAACCTTAGAACACGGCCAAAGAACATGAAAAACCCACAACAACCAAACATAGAAAAAAACCTTTGCTAATATTAGGGAAGCCTCCTCTTATATTGCCAACCATGTGGATCAGGCAGTATGTATCTGTGACATTACACTTGGTTGCATTATTCTTTTGCTACACACAACTTTCCTCTGTTTACACAATAAGAAGTGGGGAAAGTTTCATTACCTTCCCTTCCAAAAGAAAGAAAGAAAGAAAGAAAGAAAGAAAGAAAGAAGAAAAAGAAGGAGCTTTCTTGGCATCCACCTCAATATTCCCATTTAACTCCTCAATCCCCCTACCCCCCCCAAGTCACAATTGGCAAAATGCCCAACTGCAGGACAGGTAGAGCTATCGCTGTATTTATTACAACAGGAGTGTTTTTTTTAAGGACATCCGTCTCATTGAAAAACTTTTTTTGGATCAGTGCAGCCACAAAAATAAGTATTCTTGTTCATATCAGACCCAAATCTACTTTCATATTGACCATTACAGATCTGCTACTGAATATGCAGCACTTTAGGGCCAAATTATATGGTTACAGATATCACATCATTTTAGCTGAAGTCACATTCAAATTCCTGAGATGCAATTCCAGCAAAACTTCATGTCTGAAAAAAAAAATCAGACTTGCAAACAAAGCCCATACTATATTTATATCTGAATTCGTAGTCTGAAAAGCTCTTGTTGTGGCAATGAGGCCTTCAGCAGTTAAGGAATTTCTTTCCATCCAGGTTGGGCTCCCCGGCCGTCATGTACCCAGGAAAATAATTGTTAATCTGCTCCTGATTTAAAGAAAAATTTCCGAGCACATGGTTTGTTCCTTTATCCCACCTGATTTTACTTTGTTCCCCTCAGATCCTCAAGTGGCAATGACCTGGCTGTGCTCATCTCACGGATGCAACAAAGCGCTGACCAAGTGGAAAAGAACATCCTTGAAACACAGACCAAACTTAAGCAGGTAACTCTGGGAAGTTGACTGAGGGACTACTGTGCAGTGGAGGTGAAGGGAATGTAGGGGAAAGCTCCAACCAGAACATTTAAGAACCCAACTGCTTGAACTGTGCAGACAGCCAGCTAGCTCTGGACTGGGTTGGGGTGAGTGAAATGAATTTCTCCTGTCTTTGGATGGGAAAGGTATCTGAGATTCCAAAGTTCCAAAGTAGATTATAAAATTAAAATGCTGAATTTGACAAGACACTTCCATTATTTGCAACCATCAAACCTTCACTTTCAAATCTCTTGTGTTATAATACAGTTCCATCCAGCTCTTGTTTCTGCATGTTGGCTTTATAGACATTGCTGTTTCTGGGTCTTACATAGTTTCTCTGAGGTATCTGCCCTCCCAGCCTCACATTCTAGTAGGGCTCCTACTGAATTTTTTCTGGCAAGACTTCTATGCCTTTAATAACTATGCTGTACCACTAACAGAGATTGAGCAGAGAAATCTTTTATTGCATGCAGATGCACTAACAAGAAGCATTTTGTTTCCTGGGTTCCTTCCTTTCACACAGGAAAGGAGTCTTGCCAAGAATAATATTGAAGGCTCTAGATTTGGAACTAGAGTGCATCACATAAACTATTCAAACCCTTCTTTATTTGATGTGAAATAGAGGAATCAGGAAACAGTGTCTATTTGCGGGGAAAAATTTGCTTGTTGAGGTATGCCTCAATGCCCACCTCTCTTGCCTGCTAACCCAGCCTCACCTAAGATGGAAGCCACTCTCCCTGTTCCACCGTGTCAGAAGTAGCACGAAGAATGAGGGAGTGGTGAAGTGATCTGACTGTCCAAGACTGTTCTTGGGCTTCTTGGGTTCTGCTGGAAAATTAGAACATAAGACGAGCAAGTTTGCTGCATCAGGACAAAGGCACATCTGGTCCAGCCTTCTGTCTTCCACCTAGCGTGTTTGGCAAGCTTTATCTGTTGTTTATCTCAATCATGATAAACCCATACTTCTTGAATTTGTGTCAGCCTTTTTTTAAAAAAAGATACCTTTCCCCCCCAATGCAATGGAAGTATTCTCCTTGTATTTGTGGAATGGATGTAGAGCAGGTACCAAGAATCACACACTTATGCTTAAACAAAGCATTGGCTTTCTGGGTTTAAAACCACACCCAGCCTTCTCTGATGGGAACATTTACCTTCTTCTGGTTGCAGGATACCAATAACCACCAGCAAAGCAAGACTTTTGAGTTCCAGCAGCAGAATGCCAAAAACCTGAAGGAGTCCGAGACCTTGTTGAAAGATCTTTTCCTGGATGTGGACAAAGTCAAGCGACTTAAGCACCCTCAGGCCTTAGAAATAGAAAAAGAGTGAGTAGTGGGTAGAAACATCATGATATGTATTAATTTAAGTACACAGAGGCATGTTTGATTGATTTACTAGAACAGGTGATGCACTTCAAATTTGGTTTACACTCTATAGCTCATTAAGTGGCCTTTGATAGATCTTAGAATCATAGAATAATGGAGTCGGAAGGGACCTGTAAAGCCACTGAGTCCAACCCCCTGCCCAATCCAAGTGAAAGTATGTCTGACAGATAAGAAGGAGCCTTCTTGGCATCCACCTCAATATTCCCATTTAACTCCTCAATCCCCCTACCCCCCCCAAGTCACAATTGGCAAAATGCCCAACTGCAGGACAGGTAGAGCTATCGCTGTATTTATTACAACAGGAGTGTTTTTTTTAAGGACATCCGTCTCATTGAAAAACTTTTTTTTGGATCAGTGCAGCCACAAAAATAAGCATTCTTGTTCATATCAGACCCAAGTCTACTTTCATATTGACCATTACGGTTCTGCTACTGAATATGCAGCACCTTAGGGCCAAATTATATGGTTACGGATATCACATCATTTTAGCTGGAGTCACATTCAAATTCTTGAGATGCGATTCCAGCAAAACTTCATGTCTGAAAAAAAATCAGACTTGCAAACAAAGCCCATACTATATTTATATCTGAATTCGTAGTCTGAAAAGCTCTTGTTGTGGCAATGAGGCCTTCAGCAGTTAAGGAATTTCTTTCCATCCAGGTTGGGCTCCCCGGCCGTCATGTACCCAGGAAAATAATTGTTAATCTGCTCCTGATTTAAAGAAAAATTTCCGAGCACATGGTTTGTTCATTTATCCCACCTGATTTTACTTTGTTCCCCTCAGATCCTCAAGTGGCAATGACCTGGCTGTGCTCATCTCACGGATGCAACAAAGCGCTGACCAAGTGGAAAAGAACATCCTTGAAACACAGACCAAACTTAAGCAGGTAACTCTGGGAAGTTGACTGAGGGACTACTGTGCAGTGGAGGTGAAGGGAATATAGGGGAAAGCTCCAACCAGAACATTTAAGAACCCAACTGCTTGAACTGTGCAGACAGCCAGCTAGCTCTGGACTGGGTTGGGGTGAGTGAAATGAATTTCTCCTGTCTTTGGATAGGAAAGGTATCTGAGAATCCAAAGTTCCAAAGTAGATTATAAAATTAAAATGCTGAATTTGACAAAACACTTCCATTATTTGCAACCATCAAACCTTCACTTTCAAATCTCTTGTGTTATAATACAGTTCCATCCAGCTCTTGTTTCTCCATGTTGGCTTTATAGACATTGCTGTTTCCGGGTCTTACATAGTTTCTCTGAGGTATCTGCCCTCCCATCCTCACATTCCAGTAGGGCTCCTGCTGATTTTTTTTTCTGGCATTACTTCTATGCTTTTAATTAACTATGTTGTACCACTAACAGAGATTGAGCAGAGAAATCTTTTATTGCATGCAGATGCACTAACAAGAAGCATTTTGTTTCCTGGGTTCCTTCCTTTCACACAGGAAAGGAGTCTTGCCAAGAATAATATTGAAGGCTCTAGATTTGGAACTAGAGTGCATCACATAAACTATTCAAATCCTTCTTCATTTGATGTGAAATAGAGGAATCAGGAAACAGTGTCTATTTGCGGGGAAAAATTTGCTTGTTGAGGTATGCCTCAATGCCCACCTCTCTTGCCTGCTAACCCAGCCTCACCTAAGATGGAAGCCACTCTCCCTGTTCCACCGTGTCAGAAGTAGCACGAAGAATGAGGGAGTGGTGAAGTGATCTGACTGTCCAAGACTGTTCTTGGGCTTCTTGGGTTCTGCTGGAAAATTAGAACATAAGACGAGCAAGTTTGCTGCATCAGGACAAAGGCACATCTGGTCCAGCGTTCTGTCTTCCACCTAGCGTGTTTGGCAAGCTTTATCTGTTGTTTATCTCAATCATGATAAACCCATACTTCTTGAATTTGTGTCAGCCTTTTTTTAAAAAAAGATACCTTTCCCCCCCAATGCAATGGAAGTATTCTCCTTGTATTTGTGGAATGGATGTAGAGCAGGTACCAAGAATCACACACTTATGCTTAAACAAAGCATTGGCTTTCTGGGTTTAAAACCACACCCAGCCTTCTCTGATGGGAACATTTACCTTCTTCTGGTTGCAGGATACCAATAACCACCAGCAAAGCAAGACTTTTGAGTTCCAGCAGCAGAATGCCAAAAACCTGAAGGAGTCCGAGACCTTGTTGAAAGATCTTTTCCTGGATGTGGACAAAGTCAAGCGACTTAAGCACCCTCAGGCCTTAGAAATAGAAAAAGAGTGAGTAGTGGGTAGAAACATCATGATATGTATTAATTTAAGTACACAGAGGCATGTTTGATTGATTTACTAGAACAGGTGATGCACTTCAAATTTGGTTTACACTCTATAGCTCATTAAGTGGCCTTTGATAGATCTTAGAATCATAGAATAATGGAGTCGGAAGGGACCTGTAAAGCCACTGAGTCCAACCCCCTGCCCAATCCAAGTGAAAGTATGTCTGACAGATGACTGTCTAACTTTCTCTTAACTGCCTCCAGTTTTGGACAGCTCACCATGTCCGGAGGTAATTGGTTCCATTGTCATACTGCTCTAACAGTTAGGATTCATATTCTTGCACCAACTTTGGGGTATCTGCCCCAAAATGTGTAACAATATATCTGTGAAGATTCTCAGTCATCCAGGTGAGGTTATCTGGTAGCTGAATCATGGCAACTGGATTTCTTTCTTACTAGGTTGAAATGTTTCGCTTCTCATCCACGTACAGTGGGGTCTTGACTTGAGTACTTAATCCGTATTGGAAGGCGGTTCTCAAGTCAAAAAGTCTGTAAGTCAAGTCTCTATTGACCTACAGTGCATTGAAAACCGATTAATCCCGTAACAGGCCGTTTTTGTTCCATTTTGGTTTTTTTCTGGTCTGTAAGTCAAATCTCAGTCTGCAAGTCAAACCTAAATTTTGCAGCCAGAGAAGTCTGTAACTCAAAAAGTCTGTAAGTCAAGCCGTCTGTAAGTCAAGGGTCCACTGTAGCTTCTTCAGTCTGAAGAGAGTTGATAGGATATATCAGGGATCTCCTACCAACTCTTCTCATACTGAAAAAGCTACTTCGATGAGCAGCAAAACATTTCAACCTAAGAAGAAAGAAGTCCAGTTGCCATGACTCAACTTCCAGATAACCTCACCTGAATAATCTGTCCTCAATCATCCCAAAGTGCAGGACATGAAAGAATGGACTCAAGTTATAGGAAACCAGATTTTGGTTGAATTTCAGGAAAAACTGGTTTCCTATAACTTGAGCCCATTCTTTCATGTCCTGCACTTTGGGATGATTGAGGACAGATTTTGTCCCTCCTCTGTATGACAACCTTTCAAGTCTTTCAAGAATGCTATCATATATTCTCGACTTCTTCTCTCAAGGCATCCAGTTCTTTGGAGGAGACCTAAAAGAGGCCAGTGTCTTGTGTAGACAGTCCCACCAATGTAGTAAAGTGGTATTGCATGCAGTGCGCAAGCATTGCCAATGTGCAAGCAGAGGATGGGCTGCACTCATGGAGGTCACTACCTGCACAACAGCAACACTTGCACGACTGGCATAATCCCTAATTACTATACTGCTCCACAGAAGCTCCATGAGACAACAGCCACTGATTTCTTCTTTCTTCTGTCCTGCAAAGCATCAAGCAGCTCCATGACCGGGTGACACACCAATGTGCTGAATATCGGGATCTCTATGAAAAATTTACACTACCTGAAACTGGACCCAAAGTGGACTGGGCAAAAATACTTGAACAAAAGCAGGTAAAGGGAAGACGTTTGGCACGGGCAGTTTGCCAAGCGTGGCATTCTAGTGCTGGAGCCACAACTGGTTCCGTGAATGTCTGTCTCCTTTCTGTCTCCTTTAAGGCTAACTGCTGTATTTTAATGCGAGCCTTCGTGGGCAAGTCCACTTCCTTGCACTTGTCCATAAATGTTCACACTAAAGTTAGTCACTTAGTCTTTAAAGTGCCACAGCATTTTCGTCTTCTTTCTTTTTCTGTTTCTTTTGTCTTTGCCTGATATACTAGGGCAGACTAACACAGCTGCCTCTTCTAAATCTGTCTCCTGTGTTGCCCACATCCTTTATAGTTTCGGTGGTCCTCAGCGGAGCCATAAATAGCAGTTTTTGGTATTTGAAGCTTTGTTGCCCTATTAAGTAAGTCGGCGTAGTGTAGCAGACCGAGCGTCATATTAAAATCCCTGTCAGACATGGAAACTAAGGTGGGTGTGGGAGGTTGGCGCTGGTAAATCCACTCATTGAATATCTCACATATTAGGACCAACCTTAAGTTGGACTCAGTTTGATGATGCATAACACATCCATATATAAAACACATAAGATAAGAGTACACAGGGAGAGGGTGGAAAAATGGGAAAGAATGTCTGCATAGAAGAGCACAGTGTCCATATTGGTGCTGTTCCATGCTTTCCCTTGTTGTGTTTCCTTCTGCCTGGGGAGGAGTGTCTAGAGACACCTGGTTCACTTGGAGCAAACGGATGGGCACTCTTCCAGCAGCAGGCCTTTTGCACTCTCTCCCTTTTGGCCTGCTGGGTCAAAGCCTTGGTCCCACTGACCTACTTATGGTCCTGGTGCTCAGTGACCTCCAGTGTCTGACATCAGAAAGGCAGTGGGGGGTGGATGTCAAGGGCTGGCAGGTTACTCCTTTGAGCAGTAGGCATGCCCATGCAGTTCCCACAGCAGGAGATTAGAGGAGCAGACTGGTTTTCCTTGCCAGTACTGGACATCTGTGAAAATACATAACTGAATGGTTTACTCCTGGGTTTGTTGCAGAAAGAAGTCGATACAGGGAAGTATGGACCTACTCTTCCAGAGCTGGAGAAACAAATAGCAGAGCACAATATTCTCCAGAAGGAAATAGAAGCATATGGCCTTCAGATCAAGAATCTCCATAGTCCGGTAAGGTGGCCCTTCCCTGCCTTTGTTTTCCATTCCAGAAGTGCACTAACATGCTTTCATTGTTCTATGTTGTTGGACAGTAATAAGTGAAGAACTTGATAAGATGTTGGCATCAGAGTAAGTTTTCTTTTAGAACAATGACAGTGTATTAAGTCAGACTTGTTCTTACAATTGTTTGTCCAGATTATGACTCCTTACCACACCCTGGATCTAGACTGAGTCATGTATATTAAGGTATTCACAAGACCAGTTAAATTCACATTGTCCTTCAAACAACGAATAATAATTATATTATGAACATCTGAGGAGAATCCACACCATTCTGGCTTCTTTTAAGTATCACTTTTGGTCCTGAGCACTCCTCTTCAGGGGAATATATGGTCTGACATTCAAAAAGGATATATGAACCTTCTGAGAGGAAGAAGAGCAATATCTGAAAGTGCAGAAAATGAAAGGCAGGCCTGTACCTGGGAATATGACCATTGGCGATGAGGGCCATTAGAGACAAGGAGCTTTTTGCCCCCAGCTTGTAGCTAGACACAAAATATGCTGTTGGGAAAAAATCTCTGCAATTGGTTACTAATTAATGTGCACCTGGAGAAACACACAGAGAAAAAAAGACAGGTTGTGTTTATCTGTTTATTAAGAATTTAAACAACAGGCAATTTGAAGTAACATAATTTGTATAAGAATTAGAAAGAACTCCACACTTAAATCAGACTGCCCAAAAGATGTGACAAGAACTTCTTTTTGGCCCTGACCACCTCTTCTTCACTCAGTACTGAAAGTCTTCAGGCCCTGTTGACTGCAGTGCAACAGATGCTAAAGCAACCCCACAGCCTGAAGTGTTGTGTCTGGCTTTTCAGGGAGCAGGGAGGTCCAGCAGGGCATTTGTGCAGTTAGAGAAATCTGTTTTTAAAAACCTTGAATGACTCAAGGGTGAAATAGAAGTAAAGACTCTGTTATTATATGTGAAGGCTATCCAAGGCTCCAGGGTAAGCAGGGAGCTCCTTAGAACAAAGAAACAGCCCCTTCTCTTCTTGGTCATGAAACGTTCTTGAGATCAACAGCCTAGATATATATATATTTTTAAATGGTAGTTCCCATTTGAGTAGACCCATAGTAAGGTTGACAGCTTAGCCTAAAGTCTACAAGTAGATGGTTAGGGTTAGGGTAAAATCACTCTTTGCCCAAAAATGTTCATACTTGAAACTTCTGGAAGTCCTGGAGAGTTACTAGTGAGTGGTTCATTAACACCTCCAGGGCCAGCAACCACTTCATTTTTAGTGTCATCTCCATCACTGTCTCATTATGTGATTATGGGCCATGTCTTTTATTCATTTTTGCACCTCAGTTACCCTAGCAGTGAACTGCAGGATAATAACAGTCCACAGAAACAGACTGAGTCATAATGAGTCATGTAAATTGCTAACTTGATTAACGTTGACTAATTGATGACCAAAAACAAAACAGAGACTTATCTCAATAACAGGATTCCCTTTCTGCCTTTCTTTGAATTTACGCTGACTAATTGGTGACCAAAAACAAAACAGAGACTTATTCATCTCAATAATAGGATTCCCTTTCTGCCTTTCTTTGAATTTATACATAAATTAACATGAAACTATCAAGCAAATCAAATATTCCCACTCATAAATATTTGCTGTTCATGGTCTCACCATCCTAAGGGCACATCTTTGAATATCATTGACATTTAGACTGTGAACACACTGAATTAATGCCCATAGAATTTCACTACTGATGATAATGAGAAGACTACAGTTTGCTCAAGCAAAAAAATTTTTTTTTCAAAAATTAGAAGACCTTACCAAATCAAAACTTAAAAAATATATCCTGATATATTTTTTACAATTAGCCTGTAACTACTGCCTGAAGAAAGACAAAGTCTCCTTTTGGTTTTGGTTTGGTTTGGGATTTGTAGCACATTCTGCACAATCTGTGAAAATTATTTTTTAATATATAATCATTTTTTTGTCTTTTTCGGTACTGTGGTCTCTCTCTGTCTGTCTATCCAAACAAAAAGGAAGTAGCAGATTTAAAGAATCAATACAAGAGTTTGCTGGTAAGAATCTTTATATATAATCAATTTTTTTGTCTTTTTCTGTACTGTGCTCTCTCTCTCTCTCTCTCTCTCTGTCTATCCAAAAAAAAGGAAGCAGCAGATTTAAAGAACCAATACAAGAGTTTGCTGGTAAGAATCTTTTTCTGAATAATACTACTTTAGTTTGAAGGGCAGGAAAATTAAGTGTTTTATTTAATTCATATGTTTGTTAGATTCAGACAGGATGTTGATGGATGGGAAAGCAGTGTAAGCATTGTGTTCCAGCCCAGATTTGTAGATAATTAAAGCCTTAAGGTTTAGGAACTGATTAGAAGGGTGAGAAAACCCCTTGAGTAGTTATTATTGCTTCCCTTTGTCCAATATACTCCAGAGGTCTGAGCCTGGGGTGAGGGTCACTTCACTCAGCCTGATAGGCTAGTTGAGTGCAAATACACCTTGGTCTCTCAGCTCCATCAAATCAGACTATGGACATCCCTGAATTCAAGTCCTGTGTGTTGAAGCAGAATAGACATGGAGTATTTACAGATGACGGGCTCCTTCCATTCTCCAGCCATTGTTGTGCCATTTAAAATCCAATGCAATCTTACAGTTGAAACTCCACACCATTTTGATTAGTCCGTTGTGCTTTCTCTGTACTACTGATGAGTTGTTGCCCTCTGGTGCTGTTCCCCCTTGCTGTTGTCCTCTCATTCACTCCCCAGGTATCTCCCCAGGTACATACGGAGGCATATCTGTGAATGTGTACTGGATAGCTTCCTTTGTTGCTTAAGTGAACTTCCCTTTCTAAATTTCTTCTTTATCCATCCAGTCTCACCTAGTCAATTTCCTCAGTGCTGTTTGCCCCCTAGTTAACTCTAGTGTTGGTAGAATACCTTGTTGCTCCCCTCTAAGAATGCGTAGTCCCATTCCCCTACCCCTGTTTCATTTTGTTATACTACAGTTGTGCATTTGCTCAGTCATTTTTTCTTTCGTTTATTTATTTATCTTCCATTCTACCCAAATCTTCCTTTCTAAGGGGACCTCAATTAGATCCTATCCCACTTTCCACTGTCCCAGTTTCTGATTTTCCATTCCCTTCAACATTTCAGATTTTTATTTTCAAGATCAGGTCTCTCTGTGCACATTTCCATTTGCCTTGAGGGGGTAAAAAAAATCAAGATTTCAGAGAGGAATAAGGGATGTGCCATATTCTGCATTGTGTAGCAGTTATAGTGTTGGGCCAGGGCGTGAGAAACCTGGCATCTAATCCCTACTCAGACATTAAACATGGTGTTCCAAAAACATGGGTGGCTTTGGAACAGCCACTCTTTCTTACCCTAGCCTCCAATTCAGGATTGTTGTGAGAATAAAGTGAAGAGGGAAAAGGTTCTGCCTTGTTAGCTGTGTGGATCAGTAAAATTAGAATTATTATTAGGTTTACATGAATTACAGGCAGAAAAAGGGAAGGAATTGAACACTTACCAGTGTTCTGGGACTGGATGAAAAAGACACAATTTCTTACATCTCTCTCTCTCTCTCTCTCACACACACACACACACACACACACACATACAGACTCCACACACATTCAGTGGCAACGTCTGCCTGCATTTTAACTACCTCATGGGGTTATTGTGACATTAAATTAGCTACGAGTTTAATTACTACATGCACTGAAAAAGGCTACATAACTTATAGCTTAACAATAGTTGTAGCCTGAGCACTGAAGTGTTCTTTCTCTCTCAAACCTTAGAAAGCCTCCATGTGGCGAGGCCAGAGCTTGGGCAGCCTCTACACACATCTCCATGGTTGCACTAAGGAGCTGGGTTACCTCACAGACCAGCAGAATAAGATCCTGAAGCAGGATTGGAGTGACCAAATGATCGATCCCCAATTGGTACGCCGTGAATATGAAGTAAGTAGCGATACCATCAAACCTGGTGAGGGTGAATCAGAGATGTGGTATCCCTTTACCAGAGCTTGGGCAGCCTCTACACACATCTCCATGGTTGCACTAAGGAGCTGGGTTACCTCACAGACCAGCAGAATAAGATCCTGAAGCAGGATTGGAGTGACCAAATGATCGATCCCCAATTGGTACGCCGTGAATATGAAGTAAGTAGCGATACCATCAAACCTGGTGAGGGTGAATCAGAGATGTGGTATCCCTTTACTTTATGTAAGACTTCAATGAAGCAACTGAGTTACCTTCCATTTCTTAAGGCGTCTTTGAATTGCTAATTGTACCTATCCTTTAAGGAGCAGTCTTGAGACAGACCTAAAGAGATCTTTAGACCTTTTGTGGCTGCTGCAGTTCTTGATTTCACTCATGAGAATTTCATTCATCTCTGAGAATATACTTGGAGAGAGAAGAATGATGATGTGATGCATACGCCGGTGTCAACAGGCATGAGCTGTCAACCATCTTTCCATTGCTTTCTTAGAAAACCTGGGAAAGGAAGCTTTCAGTTAAACTGAATTGATGACATAATCCTAATTGCACAGTGTAAAGGTTTTCAGCCAATATCAAAAACTAGAAGGCCGGTGTCAACAGGCATGAGCTGTCAACCATCTATTCATTGCTTTCTTAGAAAATCTGGGAAAGTCTTTGAAAAGACGGCCTTGAATCACCAAACCTCCTAAGAAATGACTGAGACATTGGCATGGTGTTGGACTAGCCGTCTTTATTTCTGTCCAGATTCTCAGTGGTCGTACTTCAGATGCACAGAATGGCTGAAATCTGATTGGGAACCTCAAGAGGAGGGTGGATGGGTGGGGGAGCCTTTATTAGCCAAAAATCATCACCTTTGATCCTGTTGATTGGATCAGGATTACCACTGACAATGTGATGATTTTTGGCTAATAGGAGCATAACTATTATGCCCCCCCCACCTGAAGCTCCCAAAGGTTTCCTCAGGGGCAGAAGAAAAGTGTCAGGGAGCACTGGAACCTGAAGGGAGGATAGGAAGCTTTCAGTTCAATTGAATTGATGACATCATCCTAATTGCACAGTGTAAAGTTACACATACAGGTTTTCAGCCAATATCAAAAACTAGAAGTAAACAGAACATTTAAAGATGCCTGTCTACAACTGTCTCCACTGCTTTGGATGGTCCACCCAACATCCACTTCAAACTGGCTCACAAAGAGGAATCCAGATGGGGATTTGTTAATTGTGACAGTTTGGCACTGTGGCTTTACGTTATCCCACCGGCACAACTACACAAGAGGATTTTGGCCATTCAGTAGTTGCACTAGGGGGAAGTGATGGTGCAAATGAGCTTTTGCTCTTCTTCTGAGCTGTGGCTACGTGAAAACAATTTACTTAAGTACACCTACACAAATATACACACTTGTTATGCTTGCATTTTCAGGTGAAAACCTGAGAAGCTATTTTCTCTGCTACAGTGACTTCAGTAACAGAATAGGCTGACCAACTTCAGATTGGTGGTTTCCCCTATCGTGGCTCCAAGGATCTTTTAGCATGTTAAGTGTTTATATTCTTTCTCCTGCAGGAGTTCAAGAATAACGAGCTCCTTAACCAGGAAGAATATGTGAATACACTCCAGGATGATGGCGAGAGGATGATTGAACTGAAGCATCCAGCAGTGACCCCAATCCAGGTCTGTGTAGATTTTTGGAATTTATGTCTGTGCCCAACTCACCAATGCCTATCATTTATTTATCAGAAGCATGTTTTACCCAAGCTCTTGAGCTGAAAAAGCCCTCCAGAATGGTTTTCAAAAGATCAGTAATAATCAAGTTCCAGGTTTATAATCTGAAAGGCCTCGCACAAAAGGAAAGGGAAACAGGATTGAGAAGGGGACAAAAACTCCAAAACTCACAAAATGGCCAGCTGCAACAGAAAAAGTTCAAAGAAGGGCAAGAACCAAATTTTGATCTCTTAGCTAAAGTGACCGTTTCCTTCAAACTTTTTCATTCCCTGTAAGACACAGGATTTTGTTGTAATATTTGAACCAGCCTAGCATCCTGTGTTTCATGGGGCACGATTAGGCATCCTTCAGTCTGGAGAGACTATGGTAATGTGCTCTGTATGGAGGACTTGGGACAGCATCTAGTGTGGCTGAGAAGGCCAATTTGAGAGAGATAATCCCTTCCACATTGAAGACAAATCCAATCTATCCCCTGTCCAGCTCTCTGATTTTGCTGGTTTTGGGACTGCCTCTTTGCCTCGGTCTGCTGTACAAGAGTCTCTTCAAAATGGGAGAGGCCGTGATGCACTGCTGGCCTCCAGGCTAAAAGCTCAGATGTCAAGATTTCCCATCTGTTGAGGTCCATTCCTAAGGACTTCAGATCCTGCTTGCAGATATCTGCTGTACAAAAGTAGTTTAATAGTTATGCTCCTATTTCCAAAGATCCATGTGAACTGTAGGCTGGGGAAATGGGATGATGTAGGATTTTGAAACTTCAGGGTCCCTTGTTGTTTTCAAGCTCTGATAGCTGTTATTCTGAATGTCACCTAGCATTTTCTTATATCCCAGAACAAGGATAGGGGAGGCCAGCATTAGCTTGGCTGGAACCTGTTCAGGATCGAAATTCCATCAGAATCTGGTGACAGCAGTGAAAGGGGGTGGAATTTTGGATATAAATCTGATTAATTTTATTAAAATTTCCCAATAGCCCCTTTATGTTTGAGATACGGGCTCAGAGTTTTGATTCATGGAAGTGCAAACAGAAGAAATACCCTAGAAATGTTCAGTTGTGAAAAGAAATAGGACTAGTTAAGAAAGTGCCTTGTCAGGAGAATAAGTTTTATGTTGTTATAATGAAGTCTGGGACTCTTTGCTCAGATGAAATATGATCATATATAACTTTCTTGAATCCAACAGCATAATTTCCCCTGAAGGAGAAATATTTTGCAATCTGAAAAGCACTGGTATTTTGGCAATGAGGTGTTATTTGAGAATAAAATACAGGACAAATGTATTCTGAATGTTCTAATCGAAAAATTGTTTTAGGGCATATTTTTTAATTCAATTGTCAGGGAAGTTCATCTATTCACTTGCTGTAAAACAAAAACATCAATTTTTGCTCACCTGTCACAGAAGGCATACTATATCTGATGCAGTTTCCTTTGTTGTCTAGATTTAGTAGCTAGTAATCTGGGGACTGGTGTTAACCATCCGGGAAATAACAGAGAAGGAACTGGACAAAGTCCAGAGAGAGAAAGACAGAGAGAAATGATAACTCTTGATTTTTTCTCTGCAGGCTCATCAGGACGCTCTGAAGAATGAGTGGCAGAATTTTCTCAATTTGTGTATCTGTCAGGAGAACCATCTGAAGAATATAGAGAACTACATAAAGGTAAATCATATTGACACAGAAAGGATTATTCTAGAGTGAGAAATATGAAGACTCTTTCCCTTTTGAAAACATTGATGTTTTAGCCAGTCTGATCATTGGTAAGAAGGACTGCTTAAAACGTGAAGGAGATATTCAAAAGGGCAAGACAAAATATGCATGAAACTTACTAGCTGGAAAGTTTGCCTTCTACACTAAAGCTTCATTTCCTCCCGCACTCCTTCAGTGCATCTCACTGCATCCAGTACTTGCAGTATCTGTTCTTGTCTACAGCTTGAAGAAATATTGCCGTACATCTTCTAATCTAGAGAATGACAAAAACCATGACCAAAAAATATACATAAACATTTGATATGTGGGAGAGAAAATGAAGGATAAACATTTTGATGTAATCAAAACATCAGTTTCAGTTTTAGAAGAGATAACCATGTTAGTATGTCAGACAAAAACAAAACAAAAGTGAAAAAAATTAAGAAGACAAAAGAGTATTTCCCCTTAAAGACTAACTGCTATAGTTTAATGTGAGCTTGTTTTTGCCTGTCATACATCAGTTTCTCTCACACTCAGACTGAAGGTGAGATATTAAATCAAGATGTCTCATCCTTGTTTTTATCTTTGCTTATGAAATTTTAAGTTCCTTTACTGGTTGTGGGGTTTTTTGGGGTGTTCTTCAGAGTATTGGGGAGATGGACATAGCCTTTCCAATGTATCATAGTATGAAACGTTCAGCCCAGTATCTCATTGATTCCTGCTGAGGAGAAAACTCCACTAGCGTATTAATGTGGAATCATGCCACAAGTTTCGTAGCTGTTGTGCATCCAGTGACTGCCAAAAAGAAAACATGCCTTCTGTTTGCTCAGCAGCAACACTTGTACAAACAGCATGATCCCCCATTATTAAGCTGGCAAGCATTTCCACTTAATAGAATACTGGCCACAGAGTTTGGAAGTTCTTTGTTTTGTTTTTTAAATAATAATTATATATTTTTTGCTTTTGTCCTATCTGTTTTTATATAAACTCCTTAATTTCTTATATTTTCTTGTAGTCTTTTTATTATCCTTGACACTCTTGTTTAATACGTTGAAATAAACAGAATTTTAAAATGTTAAACATTATTGAACATTGTTGTTCCCATTTCCTTCTCGTATTTCAAACAAGTAAGAAAGAATTTAAATAGAAGAAAAGCAATAAGAACATACAAACAACATATTAAAAATAGCAAAAATCTAAAAGTGGAGCATAAAGACTTCAATGGAAGCAAAATAATTAAATCAAATCATTAAAAACCCTTGTAAAAATATAAACCCCCTTCCCCAGATGCCAACATGACAGTAGAGTAATAACAGGAAGATTGCCCAGGGAGAGCATTCCATAACTGGAGTGCCACCACAACTACACCTCAGATGGTAAGGCAATCAAGACAAAAATACCTTTGTATCAGACAGAGCTTTGGGCACCCAACAGAATGTACAAAGAAGCAACACAAGGGAAAATGATGGAGGTGAATGTAAAGCCCTGAACCTTGAGTTGACTAGATATGATGACTATACTTCTGATCTCTGAAATAAAGAGCCAAATGTAAAAACATATTCACTACCCTGGGTGAGAGACTCTGGGAGTAGCAGTCAAACAGATGTAATGATTTCCAGATTCTGTGCTTGACAGTAATATAGCAGAAGTATTGTCTGATCATCATGGTCAAAGAAGTGCCATCTTTGTTTTTGCTTTTTTAAAAATCTTGATCATTTTTAGTTCTACGATGATGCTGATGCTGTGAGCCAGTCGCTTGACAAGCTGAACAGTGATCTTGACACAAAGTACAGCAAGTTCAACAGGGACAGCCCAGGCGTGGTGTCTGACCTCATCCTTCAGCTGGAGGTGAGAATCACAAGCGGGGGGGGGGAGAGACTTTAGCTACCTGTAATCTTGTAACTACTAATTAAATAAGTTTCTGGTGACAGCTAAACTCAACAATTTAGTTTGATGATTTTACCTAAGTTCTGTTAGATACAGAGTTAAATCACCTTGACACACACCTTTAACTTAGTGAAGGCAAGGAAGGAGGAAAGTGAAAGGAAGAAGAGTTGCTGGAGAAAAATGTGCCTTGTTCAGTACATTGTGACCAAGTGCTTTCCTGCAAGGTGCCGTTTCCCAAATCAGAAGAAAAGCATTTGCTGTTCTGAAAATTGTGGATTAAGTCAACCTGTGAAGCAACAAAATCATATCTGTTGGGGTCTAAAGAAAACGGAGACGTCTAGAGAGCCCCTTGTCTTTTTCTGAGTTGCTGATTGGACAGAAAGTACTTGCCTCTGTACAAGTTGTACACATAGAAACTCATCCATACCTTCATATATGATTTGGAAGTGTAAATAGCAGGCGTGACTCTTCCTTCTGGCCCTGACACTCTTGGCAACTCTGCAGTTGGTTTCTCCTGCCCCATCAACATTGAATCCAGGATGACATGAGTTATGGGCCATCAGCCCAAGTGTAGTCCACTGTCTATGGATAGCAGCCTACCGGATGCTTGATAGATCCCCTAGTTTTGCTGTTTGCCAAAGGCTAAGAAGACGGAATAGTTGTTAGGTATGTGGCAGACCCTAACAGATGACTAACGGGGTCTGTTAACCTTAGGGCTAATTGGGTGAAAAATGGAATCAGCCAAAAATGGAAAAACTGACCCATGAGAAATGGTTTCCTACAATCACCCCTTCCGCAACTTCATTCCTCTGAATTATTTTGCAGATTATCCACCATGTTTACTTGGGGGTGGCCTATTAGGGATTACATTATTAGGCAAGCAGAGTTCTGTGCTGTTAATCTCCAGATTCACCATTCTCTCAAGAAAAACAGCGTGGGATATTTTTAATACTCTTGGGTTCATGTTTGAAAGCTTTTTGTTTGTTTGTTTGTTTGTTTCAGCAAAGGAGAGTGAGAAATAATTCCAATGTAAACATTTTCATTTAGATTTAAAAACAGAATTGCATGAAACACCACACTTCTAACTTAAGGTTTTTATCATGCCTGCTTCTATCACTACCCTTTCCATTTAACACTACATCTCTCCAGAGAAAAGAGTTGCTGGAGGAATTACCTGCCTGCTGTGTTTCGGCTGCTGATCACTACAGTGGCATTCCCCACTGGCCAAAATCCTCCTGCGTAAGTTCTGTCTCTGGAAAATGATGACTTCACCAGCAAGGGGACTTTTTATATATAATTAAAGACTTTCTCTTTCTGTCCCATGGCTCCCACAGCTTCCATGCAATGAAACTGATTACTTGCAGGATAGCCAAACTGCTGGAGAGATAGGCGGAGTCTCACCCTGACATCACCCTTCCACAAATGTGACTTACACAAGAGGATTTGGGCCATTAAAGGCAAAGGGGATGGTTTTTTCAAAAGCAGCAAACATTCTGAATTCCCGCAATATGAATGTATCACAGAGCAGATGCTCCTTAGAAAAACAAAATAAAAATTTCCTCCCCACAACCCAAAAAAAGAATTTCACCTCATGCTCAAAACATAACTGAAACAGAATATTTGATCTTGAGGTGAGATGTCTGAGAATCTATGCCTGTCGATTTAATATTGATTGGTTCAGTGAGCTACAGGTTGTGCAAGCTTACTTAAGCCCATGGTACCTGCTCAGAATCTATACCATCAATAACTTCCTGCTTCTCCTTCCTGTCTAGAATGATGAAAAGACTGTGAAACTGGCTGAGAAGAACATTGCTGAATTGAAACGGAGGAGTAAAGAGATCAGCCCTTTGAAAATGCGCAGAATTCAGCCCTCTCAACCAATCTCTGTGGATAGTCTTTGTGACTGGGATTCGGGTGATGTAAGAAAAACATTCATCTTATCTTCTATATGAGATAGAAGCTGAACCATCTGGTTTTTTAATCCTTTTCTGGTGATACCTCCTCGCAATTTCTGAAAACTTGTTTCTCTGTGCTGCTGCTGCTGCTGCTCCTGCTGCTGCTGCTTCAGTCAAACAGCCAAGAATCATTTTGTGCTCTGTCTGAGAAAAGAGATGCCAGTGTATTTCATGTTTCCATTAATTTGCTTTTTGTCTGAATGGCAGCTATACAGTCTGAACTATAATCTGGCATTTTATTCCCCTTTTTTTTGGGGGGGGGGTGTTCCACTGGTTACCTGTTGTGTCCTAGTTCAAGTTCAAGTTTCTGATGTTTACATATGCATGATGCTTACAAACCTTCATGGTTTGGGACCACACTACCTGTCAGAACATCTCTCCCCAATATCTGCTCAACCTACCAGACCCTCTTAGTCTAAGCTGCTCCAGGTAGCCATTCCGAAGGAGGCCTGGAAATCTTCCACGAAAGGTTGGGCCTTCTTCATGGTGGCTCCAATGTTGTAGAATCAGCTCCTGGTAGAGTTAAGCCTGGTCCCCTCCCTGTTAACATTCATAAGACAACTTAACATGTTGCGTTTTAGGGAGGCTTTCCACATTAGACCCTGTTTGATTTTATGTCCCCTGTCCTGCCATCACACAGAGAATTGTCTTTAGTGCCACTTCTTATTTTACTAATGCTTTACTAATGTTGTTGTTGTTGTTGTTGTTGTTACTATTACTACTAGTAGTAGTAGTAGTAGCAGCAGCAGCAGCAGCAGCAGCAATAGTTTTATTTATTGTTGTAAACTGCCCAGAATAGTGCATTGCATTCATGGGGTTGTTTATAAATCAATCAAACAAACAAATAACCTGTTTTATCATCCCATCAGGCAGAATATGTAATGCCCCTTAACCATTCTACTTATTGGCTGACATCCAGTAGTAAGTCACAATGGAGGACTTTACTCACCAAATCCCCACTGATTCAATGGCCCTTTTCTAGTTGCAAGATGTCAGCCGATAAATGATTGGACAGTGCACACCTTGCCTATCAGGAGAACAAAGTATTAGACAAATTTGTAAAATGATCACACAAGTGGCAATGTGTAAGGGCTTCCTGCTCTTGTTGCAAAATGAGCTTACTTCTTTACTATGACAGAGCTATCCCCTACCTCTTATGATGGAGCCATAGAGATTCAAGGGAACTATAAGGACCATTTGACATAGTTGTTATTGTTCTAGGAACACATAGTTTGGGGACAAAAGAAACGGAGGACAAATGCAGCATTGACAGTAATTCCTACACTGAGCAAGAGGTTGGACTTGATAGCCTTATACACCCCTTCCAACTCCATTATTCTATGACTCTATTAGCTGTGCAAGTTTAAAATAAATACATCCAAAACAGACTCTGGGCAGTCTTGAGTCTGAATAGTGAAGGACAGATTTGGGACACCTGAACATTTGTTTCAAGTTTGCCTCTTTGGTAAAGTTTGGCCACATTTGAAAACCAACTGAAAACTAAAACTTTTTGGCACCTAGGCGCAGCTTGAAAGAGGTATGAGATATACTTTGATGGATAACAACAACCAGGAGACCTGGCTTGTACAGGACAGCAGCAGAGAGACTAAGGCGGCGCCTGCTGTCTGCTTTTCCATTCCACCTCCAGATCAAGAAGCCATAGACAGAGTGAATAAGTGAGTACAAAGCTTTTGTTTCTCTTCTTTCCAAAGTCCATGAGCCACAAATAAGAAAGCTGATGTTTGCTATGTTCTGAGGTTGAAGTATAATTTTGTAAAGAATACAATTTGGAAATATCAGAATTTCTTCTGTAATAGAGAAATCCTCAGTCATCGTGTGGCCATGAAACAATGTGGATATATTGCAGTTATATATTTATATGCTGTATGATTTGGTTGACCCTAGCAATGGCCTATACTAGATATACAGTATTGGTTTTTGTACCTGGTCTCCAGGTTTCCATAGGACTTTCATTCAGTCTTATGGTATGAGACAGCCTTAACACATAATCACCACACAGATGAGTAGAATCCATTATCTTTACGCCCTTCTAAAGTGAACTTGCACTAATGGAAACAGATTACATTAATGTGTACACTATGATAGTTGGACAGGCAGGGTATTAATTCACACTATAGTCAACACCATCAAGCATCTGTGATTTCTGATAATAGAAAATATGGAACCTTTTACTGCACACATAATTATACCCATCGCTCTGAAATTAAGACCGTAGTGCCCTATTTAAACATAATCGGGAAGCACATGATAGGCAATTCACCCCAGAGTTTTATCTGCATGACAGCCATTCTTTTTCTTTCTGTAGCAGTACTTTCAAAACACACATTATTCACACAGCTTGTTGCTCAGCACCCTGTCTGGAATGGGAATTTTAATTAGTTCATGTTCAAGGCTGCTTACAAATTGAGTTTTTGTTCTGTCCCTCTACCAGGGGCTCTGTGAAGTCCAATTCATACTCTCTCTTTTTGATATTTCTGGGACATCACATTTACCCCAAAGCACTGACTGCCACGTAAAGCTAAATCTGATATATTAGAGTTGGGTGAAAGATACACTGGGATCTAGAGGTAAATTTCTGTGTGATTAACAGGAAATAAGCAAAGGTTTTCCAACTCCTGTTTGCTTAACAATAGAAAGCAAAACTGCAAGAAAAAAAAACCTTACGTGCTAAGGTTGTTTTTTGCTATGCTTTCATTTCCTTTGTCATCATGTGCCAACGACTCTGACAGTCTGAACAACATATGGTTGAATAAAATGTATGCCAGACCTGAGCAACATAGTACTATGTGCACAGCCACACTGGAGTTGCTTCCATGTGATATAACATTGTTCAGGGTAATATCCAGCAGGAGGAAACTCTTGGGTCCAAGCACTGACCAACTGGGCCATCCAGCATCCCACAGGATCACTTCATACTGGTGTGACTGGAGCAGTGCTGGAAGCAACCAGATAGAAGCAGTTCCACTGCTGTTTGCCCTGGGTTAATGAGTATATCTGGCCTATGGTATAATTAGTGCACTATAGAATTATTTTCAAATTATTGTTTGGCATGGGGAACCAGAGGGTGCTATTTATTCTGGATTTTAAAAAATGGATCTGGATTAATCCTGGTTTTTATTTTATTTTAAAAATCTGCCTTCTTTCTAAGCATGCCTTGCATATGCTTCTAGTTTTGTTGGAAAAGTTCTGAGCTATGAACAATATTGACTTCCTCTGTTATTTTTAGGCTGGAAGGCGAACTGAATACAGTAAAGCAGAAAAGAGCTACAGTTCAGAATACTCTGAGAAGCAGCCACAAGGACCCTGTAAAGTCCAGCCATCAGGGTATGTCAGCATTTTAGCCTTTTTCTAGCTAGAAACTGCAACTTAGTATGACTGGACATGTGAGGTACTCAGCTAAATCCCCAAAGGGCTTTCAAGATGCCCAGGCTCTGTTTGATATCCTTCTTAAACAGGAATCTCTGGGGAAGAAAGATTTGTCTCAGGCAATAGATAAGGGTTCAAAAATGGATATGAAACATAAAAGGAAGCAGGTTGGGTGTGCTAATTACCTTTATGATGGAAAGATCTTTTTATGGCTAAATTGAAATGTATAGGCAGATGAAAAACTCTATCTAGTGAATTTCATTTGGGTTTTGGTTTAATACGGGCCACAACCAAATGGATAGTTAATATTCCTTGTCCTTTCAGCTCCAGTCAGGACCCCTGTGTTGGTCCAGGATGATTCCCAAGCTGAACAATTGCTCTATAAGCTGGAGAAAATTAATGGTGACTTGGGCCAGGTCAAGAAGGAGACTTTTAGCCGCATGAGAGCCCCACTAAACCACAATGACCCTATAGAAGACCTTACTCAACGGATCAGAGAGCAGGAGGCAAGTACTGGGGGATCTGGATCACTCCTCTGTCTATGATAGCTTTCCATCATATGCTGGACATCGCTGTATTGTTCACATGCTGCAGGCGTTAATCGTTCTAGAGGGGAAAGAAGAGGAGTTTCTTCTGGTGGGTCTCCTTCTGTCTTAACACTGCAAGAGAAGACTGGGGGGAATTCATCCACAGAGAATCAAACTACATTTGGTTACAGATTGCATGTTATTAGAAATTGAAACTGTCAGTGTTCCAGATTTGTGATTGCACCAGACCTTCATATCTCAGAAGTCATATTTGCAATGTCCATGTTTTCCAGTTGCAAATGACAGGAGATGTGAAATGCTCATCCCTTTTTCAGCACTGAAGTTATTCCCTTTTTAAATGACATGCTATCTCTAATGTTTAGTTTGACATTCCTGAGAAATAAAGAGGAAAAGAGGGAGGCTTTCTTATGCAACTTTAAAGACAATGGCTTAATAAAAAAAATCCTGTCATTTCCACACCCCATGTGTGCAGCTCCCTAGACTACATAATTAATCTTGGCTTCCTGTTTTTTCTACTTGATTGTATCAATTGTTCGGATAAACCATTAGGATATCTGGCTATGTCTGTATGAAAACTGCAGGGCTGAGAGTCTTGGATGAAATAACGACCTCCAATTCTCCCAGGTATAAATGAAGATCGATCTCTACTGGGCTAGAATAATCAAGATACTTAATTCTTCTTTCTCCACTTATCCTTTGTCATCTTTCCATCTTGAAGAATCTGTTTATTGTTTTATATTTTTCTATTTTGCTATATGTATATTTTTTTGTAATTTTTTTTTTATTTGTCTGGAAGCCGCCTAGAGTGGTCGCAATGACCAGATAGGCAGGGTACAAATAAAATAAAATAAAATAAAATAAGTAAACAAACAAACAAACAGAAATAGTGCCTGGAATCCTGGTTATGTTTGCATAAGATTTGTACGGCATGCCATAGATAATTGCTGCTAATTGATAAAGTACCAGATCATGTATCAGTTGTGAACTCAGTCACGTGTCTAGTTTGTAGCCACCTCATCCATGAGCCTCAATTAGCCAGAGCAAGTTAAGGAAACCTAACACAAACACTGATAGGATTATTATTTTATCTTTAATATTGTCTTTCAAGGATGTAAGCTGCCTTGGGTCCTTTTTAACAAGAAAGATGGGGTATAATGTTCATTCATTCATTCACTCATTTACTTATTTATTAACAAACAAACATTTTATGTCTTTTCTTGTCCCCTCATATAAAGTACTTTTCTTAATAGCAGGGGTGTCCAATGGATTGGAGGGGTGTCTCATTCCAAAATGTTCAGGGGATGCCTCTCACTGGCTCTGTTGACAAGCTACCCTCATTTAATGATAGAATTGGCCCTGGCACACTACTTTACCTGCTTTCACCCATCATCTTCCAGAGATGCAAGACTATAATACATTTGAGGTGAGGTCAGAGATGGTTGCTAAAAGCCCTCTCATACTTCGAGAGCTACAAAAAGAGACATGCCATCATGAGGGGCTGCTAATCTATATTTTTATCTGCAAAATCCTTCGCTTGGTTCTTAATCATGCCTTTGATAATGCCATGGTTGCCCGTCTGCCCTGAGAGACAAAATATTCCAGGAAATGCAGGATCTGGGTTTGGTTTCTTTTGGTTGAGAGAACACTGAAAACTAACAGTGCAATTCTAACACAAAGGCATGCTTGCTGTCTATAGGAATAGAGAAACATCTCTTTTGTCAGCAGACACGCTCCTTCAACTGACTGATCTCAGAGGTCTGTGAAAGAGGAATTTGTCTGCAGAAATGCCCTGCTAGATGAGGTCTGCTATGAAAAAAGCCAATAAAAGGGTGGGAAAGAGGCATAGTGGGTGAGGAGCTGGGGAATAATAGATCAGGTTTGCTATGCCCCATAAAGTGGTGATTAAACTGCAGTACTGAAATCTAGCTTCTGCTCACAACCTGAGTTTGATCCTAATGAATTCAGGTAGCTGGTTCAAGGTTGGCTCTATCCTTCTGAGGTCAATAAAATGAGTACCTGTAACCAGATTCCTGGAGGATGAAGTGTTGTTTGCATAATTATGTTGTAAACTGGCCAAAGACTGCTTCACTTCTATGGGGTGGTATATAAGTCAAAACAACAACAAATAATTATA